ATTTCACACAATTAAACTTGATTTTTTAGGATATATCATTACAAATGATAGCCTTATGATAGATTCTAAAAAATTTTAGACTATTACAGATTAAAAGGTTATATAATAAATTGAAAAAATCTAATGTTTTAAAAAAAAAACAATTACTATTAAATCTTTATTGAGAAATTTTATCAAATTGTACCTCTACTTATATGTTTGTCTTATAAAAATAAAATTAAGTAGAATTAAGAAATCAAAATAGTATTTAAAGATTTCAAGATAACTTTCATTGTAATGTTAATCATATATTGAATTGATTTTTAAGGCATCTTTTAATAGGAAAAACCACACCAAGTTTTTTTTTAAGCTAAGATGTCATCACAAATGGCAATACATAATCATCTTCACTTTATAACTTTTTATTCAAGAAGAATTTTAACTAATAAGATCAATTACAAGATCCACAAAAAATAAATTCTTGCAATTGTAGACTCATTTTAAGAATGTCACTATTATTTGGAAGGTTCTTCTAATCTAATGATTTCTTATATAAATTATAAGAACTTTAAATATTTTACATTAGTATGTATTTTAAATTGTCTGTAAGTTCATGAGATAATGTCTCTGTGAGGATTTATGTTCAATATCACATATTGGCAAAGAAAAAAACAAGGTTTATTAAATTTTATTTTTTAATGTTTTTATCTTATATTAAAAAAAAAAAAAAAAAAAAAAAAAAAAATTGATCAGCAACAAACAATTATTTTGAAGTCAAAGTAATTTCATTTTTAAGTAATGAAATCAATATTAACAATTGTCTTAGGAGTGAATAATTTTAAAAAATAAATTAACATCCATTTTTAAGTAATAAAATCAATATTAACATTCTTACAATGGAAGATTTTATAAATTATTTATTAAAACTATATGTGATAATGAAGGCACAATTAACAAAAGCTCAATAACAACAACAAATCAACGTAGATGAATATTGCAAGAAACAACTTCAATTCCATATGGACAACAAAGTATAGTTATTTTATCATAATGTTAAGACTATTTTTTCTTGTAATAAGTTGGATTACCATAAACTTAAACTATTTTCTATCTTTGAATAAATCAATCTAATTGCATATTAATTATATCTACCAAAGTCAATGAAGATCTATTTTACATTTTATGTATATTTTTTCTAGCCATACAAGTTATTGGATAAACTAGAAAGAAGACAAATGCTACATCTTTCTATAAAAAGTGAACAACAATAAAAAATTAAAATAGAAGTAGACTTGGACTCAAAATATAATATCTTTTACATTGATACAAACATGATATTAGAGAATGTATATGGAAGCCATCAAAGAATCTTGTAAATATAATAAAGAAGGTTGATGTTTTTCACCAACAATATCCATTAAAATCAAGATGAAAAGACAAGATTTACTTTTTGCTATGATAAAAAATAATTTTAATAAAGATTCTATTCTATCTTCTATCATTATTTATGATTTTTTAGTATTTGTGGTATTAAAGAGATGAAGAATCAACAATCAAAAAATTTAATTTAAGAATTATTCTTAAAAACTTATATTAATACATATATCAAAATATAGTTTACAAAGATATAATATTTATTTTTCTATTTTTTTATTTTTATTCTATTTTATAATATTTTAAAAAAATATATTATTATGAAAATTAACATATTTTTAAAAATATCTATAAAATTTTTATATTTTATATCTTTGTAATGCCATAATGCCAAAAAATCCTCTTTTATATTTTTTTAAAAGACATGATTTGTTAACAAAATATTATATTACAAAAATTGAAATAATAAGAAATCTTGTAAAAAAAAATCAAGAATCATGGATATTTTTAAATTATTTTTATTGATTTGATAATAAAATTTTAATAAAATTTATATAACTAATTATAAATATACTAATATATATATATATACTTTAATTAATTAATATCTCTTAATCAACATTCTTAGGTTAATTAATAGTATTTGATATAATAGATGTTGTTCATAGGTTATAAGCTAATAACCTTGATTTTTTCACAATTAATTTTTAAAAATAGAATTTTCTAAATTATGTAAAAAATAAAATCTTAAATTTTCAATTCAAAGAGTGTAAGATCACATCAATCTATAGAAGAACTTTCTATACAACCATTGTCAATTTCTCAATGGATTCATCTTGTTGACAAAATCAACAAACCTTACTTTGTTTTTTATGTAAATATAATCTTTTTTTTCTCAAGTGATTAGCCACAAAATGTTATGACATTGTGTTGATTATTGCAACATGTTTTAGGTACATATCTTATTATGTTCCATGAGTTGCAATGTCCCAAATGGTTAAATCACCTCATTACTATTGCCAAATACATAATTTACTTCAATCAATCATCTTGCAATATAATACCTTGTCTTGGTTTTTTTCATTAATATCTTTACAAAAGAAGCAACATTAATAGTTTGAGATTAAAATGAGATTACAAATGATTGCAATCTCATTTCACTTCTTCTCCTTCCACCATTGTCATTGCATCTTTGTTTATCTCTATCAAATCTATAATGAGAATCTATGATATCCTCAAAATCTATTCAATTTTTTTCTCTCTAAGTATTCGAATTAGAGATAGATTTTAAGTTAGTCATAAATAAGATTACTCTGCAACACATCTTTGCTACTAACCTTTATCAATGTTGATACTTATACTGATATTGATTTTTTTTTAGCTCTTTATAATTCTATAATTTTCTTAGTTATAATACTAGTAAAGGGACATGAAGAAGGCAATAAAAAACTATAAAATTATATAATTCCACATAAATAATAAAACTTCTATCTACCAAGATTATTAATTAGGAAAGGTACCACTATATATATATATATATATATATATATATAGAAAGAAAGAAAGAAAGAAAGAAAGAGATTTCAAAAATATTGTATTAGAAATAATAATAATAATAATAATAATGAAAGAAATTATTTTTTATTTAGATTACTTTTACATGATATTTTTTATTCTTATAAATCGCCATTTAAATTCTTATATTAAATTCTTTTAATAATATTTCTAAAATATATGTATGTTATTAATATAATTGTGTTTCTATAAAAGTATTATAAATTTTAATTTCCAACAAGTAATACTAGTGGAATGATATTGTTTTGCTATCATTCTTCCAAACAAAACTAAGCCTAAATAAATAAATAAATCATAAAGTCATAATAGATAGTATTTAATAAGTTAGTAATACTATTAAATCATAAGATGAGCTATTATAATTTTTAAGATGTTTTTCAAAACTACAAAAAAATAGATAATATTAAATCATAAATTATAGTATCTAATTAAATAAAAATATCTTAATAATTATATGATTGTTTGTTAACATACTATCATTTTTACTTATGGTTTTTTTATTTAGTATTTTTTTTAAAATAAATTAAGTTGGAATGATCAACAAAATGTCTCAATATATATAAACACAACTTTGTATTTTTATATCATGCATTGGATGAGGTTTTAGTAGATTTTGGTCTTGCTACAAATTATATGTTTTGTCACAATTTGCATCTTTTCATAAAATTAAAATAAGAATTACAAAATAAGTATATTTTTTGTATATCTATTGAATCAATTGTAAACAATCCAAAGAAAAATAAAGTACCAATTATATTCATAGCATATCAAGAATTAATCACAATATTGTTGCTAAACCAAATTAAATAACAAAAATAACATTTATTTATTAATTATAATATATAGCTTCTTTCCAAAACCTCTACAAATAAAATTTTGAGCAAAATATACCAATAGGATCTAAAATTTGAAACAAAAATTTTATAAAGAAAATTTTCATAGTCAAGTTGTTGTAGTAAGTAATATATTGCTTTAACAAACCATCTTCCAAATTTGAACATGTCAATAAACATTGCCTACTCTAGGATTATCCAAGGGTGACATTTAGAAAACTAATAAGTAAGCAAGCAAGGAGCAACAATTTAGAAAATTAGTAACCAAGGAGCAAGGAGTGACATATAATTTTAGATAATTTAGAATAAAATGCATAAAAAAAAACTAATAAATGTGATAGATATGCATCAATTGTACACATTAGAGTAGGAGAATGGTGTAGAGATTTTTTCTTGAGAAAATTCATGTAGACTAATGATTCAAGAGTAAAATCAAGAATTGTTGATGCCCCTTGTCAATTCCTCTACAACAGTATAAAAGAATCTAAAAATCCCTTTCAATTGCATCACTGCATGACTTCTGGGCTCACTGTTAATGCTATTATTTTGTCCTAAAATGATGGACCGTATTCCCCCTATTCCGCTAACAAATTACATACTCTAGTGATTTATGTGTTGGTTCCCTGCTGCTGACCCCTCAATTCTCTGCAAATTTTTCTCTGTTGCTATCTCTTACTCTTACACCCACTAATGTACACTGGTGTATTTTGTAATTGTAACAATATGCCTTAATTCAAGTTCAATGTCTCAAGACTACAAGGAAAGCAATCAATTCAAAAACTGGGACATCCCTAACTATTCGACAAGAATTAAATGAACCCCCCCAACAAATTTTCGTCCGTAACACATAGTTGTTGATACAATTCTCCTTAACTCTACAAGCCAAGATAGTGCAGAAATCTGGATGAGGCCACGAAGGCAAAATCTTGGACTTGGCAATCTGATCGAGTGTGAGAGAAAGAGGGGGAAAGAGACGATTACATAATTGACTACATTATTGTTCTTAGTGTACCTCTTGCTTTCTAAAGTTAAATCTGAGATCAAAAGCGCCTCAGTAAAACTCCAAGTCTCGTCAATGTGATCACAAGAAACCCCATGCTCAACGGGGTTGGGGTCTTGAAGCAGAAAACACAAGTGTCCAGATCGGAATGTCCGATTGGAACTAATGTACGTACATTCACCTAACATTGTTGGTCATAGAGATAGCAAGGAACGAACAAAACAAGCAACACATCAAAGTAGCCATAAAGATATGTATATATTTAGGTTGCATAAAGGTATTGCCAATGTTCAGTGTCTCCTCGAGAAGCCTCTACAGTGATTGCGTAGGAACTGACTAAAACTGCCTTTCCTACTGCAGTTCGCAAGGGTCCAAAAACCACCTGTATCCCGACTGCGCATCAGCTCCTCCTTCAGGAGGCACAAAATTACAAATTACCAAGCCGAACATACGTAAAGAAACTGATATCCAAGGTCAGCAGATCATACAGCTCTGAACATCCGCTCTCTTCAGATTATATGAGTGAACAGCTGCCGCCTCATTTAAACAAATAGAGATGTTAACTACGACATTACTCCAGTCACTGCACTATGTGTGGGAACGGCAACATGGGAATCTTGTAACAAAACTATGACAGTCAAAACTGGAAGTGACCTGGTATGCCGACATAGATACCACTCAAAAAAATACGCTGAAATCAAGACAAGCGAAAGCCTCCTTCGTACAAAGGAGCGTCCGAAGTCAACTACACCACATTTTAAGAACAACCAAAGAAGAAATTGGAAGGGCATCAGCAAGATCATGCACCAGGATATTAACCACCAGTGCGCATCTGAAGGTTCACTCAGATCGTCACTTGAAAGGGTCCTGACCTTGCTGCGGCCACAGTGGTGAGGTGCCTAGTCATGAAACTGTCTTTCGTTTCACAAGCTACGGCAAGCTCTAGCTTTGGGCGAAAAAGACTCAAGGCGTTCCCACCGTTCATAACCTCAGTTGAATTCTTCCCAGGCATTGCCCACGTATTCAAGTTCTTGGAGTCATCTGTCCGTAGACATTTTGAAGGCCACTCGCAACTGCCTTCCTCAAGCAAACCACGCTTGCCGAGAGTTGTTGGAGCAGCAACAGGAGCCTGCCCAACCGAGGCAGCACTAGGCACCATGGATTGACTACGAGGCCACACTGAAGCAGCCATTTGAGGAGGGTTATGCACATGACCCACATCAGCACCCCATTGTGTTGCTCCCGACTGCACAAGAGTGGGACTCCAAGACGACGTTGGGGGCAACGTCTGAATAGCATTCAAACTAGCCCTGACATCTGGAGTAGAATATGAGACACCTTGCGACGAATGAGAAATAGGGTGTTTGCCGCCCAATTCAAGATGATAACCATGAGGCCACTCACCACTGTGGAACCCTACAGATGCACCATTTCCAGCCCAACCGCTGCTGCTGGATGGGAGGACGAATCTGTACATACCAGAAGTCGCCTCGAGCTGTAACGCTGATGAATTGTAAGCAGATTGTTTTGATAACAGGCTATGAGTGTCCTGCGTTTGCCCGTTCAGTGAGGATCTACTGCAATCTTTGTCAAATCCATTTCCTGAAGGGCACCGTGCAAGCCTCTGCCCCAAACTGATGGATGCTGAATCAGAACTTCCCACTGTACTCGCTTCTACAGCTGCAAAATTGGCCAATGATGATGAGCAATAATTACTTCTACGCTTGAAAACGCATTGATGTCATTCAAAATAGTCTGCATAGTACTGCATGAGACCTCTCACAACAAAACCATAAGCACGAAGTTCCAAATGTCATGATTTGCACATGAACAACTGAAAAGAAAGTCTAGATGAAACAACGACCTGAAGGCATAAATCCTTGGCTGAGCGAGAACGACTGGAAAGGAAGGCGTGAATTTTGATGTAGCGAATATGGGGGTGAAATGCTTATCCCATTGTCTTGGCCGAACCCAGAGCTCCGCATAGGAGAGCCCTGTCCAGCCAGTCTTTTGGGCTGTGCATGCTTTAGGGATGAACCTGCTTTCTGACTCGTTGGTGATCCAAGAGCGCAGGACAGCAACTGGGAGGCAGAATCGCCGGAGTCACTTTGGATTGAGCAGTTAACAGAAGCTTCAGGACAATCCCGCTGCATTCCACCATGTTTATTCTTCCTCCTCCCGGCTCCCACCGGTACGTTCCGCAAAGTGCCTCCAGCAGTCCAGTACCGTTGGCAGTTTTTACAGAAATGACGCGGCTGGTTGATGTTGTAATTGTTATAGTAACAGAATTTCGTGTCCAGACTATCACATCGCGGGCAAGACACCACTTTGTCAGGTTTCTGAAGGTGCTTGTCATCACCCACAGATTGACTGTGATCCACTTCACCCTGGTCCTTGAGCTCATCTGAATGAGCCCCTTCACTATCACTAGGACCGAGAGAGACTCCCGTATTAAGAGATCTACTCCCTGAAACTAGTTCAGAAGACTTTAGAGGCTGCAAGAACTCGTCTCTGCTGCTACTTCTGGCAGTTCTGAGATTCTCGACAACTCCACCTTCGTTCTCATCCCTGAGGATCACACTGTCCCCTCCATCCTGAAACACGATATTCACTCAGGACATCATCAGTCAGTATCACACACTGATAAACGTACCGGTGAACAATGATACGACCAAGATCAGGAAGAGAAAGACGAGAACACAATCGCAGCGCTGGGAATACTCCCACACAGACTGACCACTCTCCTAAAGACCTAAGAATCACTTCTTTACTGAGCAGGTAACTTTAAAATCTCCTTTGTACCCTAAAACAAGGTAAATGGTTTCAAGCGTACTGAAAGTCTCACACTTGTGCCAACATGCTGACAACTCATGCTCCGAATTCACAAGCCCAAAGTCCCCGTTGCAGTACCCTAAACTCTACTCATTTCACATACAATCCCGGAGAGAAAAGAAAATGAGCTCGATCAAGAGAGGCCACATAGCAGGATATGCTTTGGCTACAGAAAAGAAACGGCATACCTGCTTGGATAACGGCGCTGTGCCTCGCGGCGGACTAGCACTCGTTGGTTTGAGAACTCCTGCATCGGCACCTGCATCAGCGCGGCTTGAAACCACGCCTATGGTCTGTCCAAAAAGTTTGATCTGGGGATCCACGGATGCCTTCGGGCAGCCTGGTTGTACACCCAGTGTCCAATCACAAGGGTGTGGCATACTTGCCTGCTCCACCACATCCAGAGCAACACCCTCACCTCCTAAAGGCAGCCTCTGGTAAACAAAGTCAGACACTGCTTGATCCTGCAAAATCCACCTACCCACTCCCTGACAAAACTTTGGATTCGCTGAAGGAAGTAGCAAACCTTCGCGTCTTTCACTAAGATTGTCGGAAGACATATATGCTTCGATTATTAGTCGTCGTCGTCGTTTTTATTCTCCAAACTCACCGTCCTAGTGAAGGGCTTCTATCAGCGGAGATCAAGAAACACGAACCAAGGTGATGTACTCAGCCAATAAGATCCTGGGGAACTTCCTTCTGAGTGATAATGGTAGCTGGCGACACAACTATATTGAAAACAACGTTACCAACAAAAGTGGTCCAGCGTCAATTCTCTAAGAAGGCAAATCTCTTCGCACATCTGCTTGTGCCTTCAAAATACTGAGGACCTGATCAGTCATTCGAATACTTGACTTCACCTTGGGCACCCATAGGAAGAAACTGAAACCTCTTGAAAGACGATCCCGAGATTACTTGTCCTTTCTGAAAAACTGTTGAATAGAGCGATTCTCCTTGGCTCTTCAAGATTTCAAGATGTCAGAGAAATCGCATTCTTCTCATTGTCTCCAATGCTCCTGGGACATAAACTCTACCTGTAATCTCGACTGAAAAGTACAGAGGGGCCAAAGAACAACTCGTACGTGTGCAAAATGAGAGCTTACAGAGATCCCCAAGGGAAAGATGGGGAGAATACAGAGTGCAAGTTCCTCTGATAAAATCAAAAAAGGGAGGGGAGCGGGGACCCAAGCAACTAAACAGCGTTGGCTTCCTCAAGCTTCAGGATTGCCAGAGACAAACCACCGCCTACACACATTAAAAAAAATAACAAATAAATAAATAAAAATCCTCGAACCACTATCCTCGGCTGCTCTAAGGGTTACCGCACCACTCCAGAAGGGCTTCTCTTTGTGCAGTCCACCATCACCACCACTTCCTCGTGCTACGTCTCCTATGCCGCCACCGCCACGGATCACCAGTGGATACTTGGGATGCTGCACCCTTGGTAGCAGGCACTGCATTCGCAAAAGAGCCACAAAACGGCCAGAATACAGCTCTTGAAACGCTTTCCCTCCACCTCACTACCTACCTGTCTTCAACAATTCCATCATCGATCTACTTACTTCGCCGTCAAGAAACATCACTTTGGCATTTCGGCGCAGCGCTCCCTGAAACGATAGCCCCCGCTCAAAGCACTACACAGGTTCCACTCCAATCCTTCACATACGCGCGGGTGCAAAGTCAACCTTGCCAACCCTAGGAAAACTACAAGCTACCGCACAAACTACAACTGGTTCACAGGAGGAGGAGAGAGAGAAGGCAAAATTCAAAAAACAAAACAAAACAAAATAAGACAAAACAAAAAGATAACAGAAATGTTGACTTGATCAGCGCTGCTTGAGGCGCTTAGAGGATGCAGATGAGGCAGGCCAGGAGGTCCATAGCTGCGAGGAGATGTGCCACTTGGTGGCCATCTTGGAAGGTGCAAACAAACCCAGCCCAACTAACGCACAATCTCCACACACAAAACAAACAATCCAAATAAACCCGATAAAGAAACGTAAAATTGAAAGAAGAAAAATAGATCGCACACCGCTCTCTCCCTCTCCTCCCACTTTCTCTCTCGCGAAATCTGTTTGTAACTCTGTTTGTGGATGAGTGATGTTGCACTTGTGCCCTGGTCTCTCAAATGATGCCCTCGTGTGAGAGAGACGGGAAGAAAGCTCTAGAGTTTCGGAGCTCCCACGCTGGAACAGCACAAGGGCAAACTTCCCAGGTCCAGACAGACCATCTCCGCTTGGCTCTTCCGGACGAATGCGGACGTTCATTGGAATAAACCTAAATGGATGTCAGACAGACAGCGCGAGGCTGGGGATAAGAATGGAGGAAGTTGGAGGCGGAGCGGCCCCACATGGGAAGTCTCCTAGGCCGATGAGTCCTATTTCAAGACTCTAGTCCCTCCGTCTTGGTGAAGTAACGCTCCCATTATTACTCCTAGTTTTTCAAATAGCACGAGTGGCTGCCTGCCGAAAGTTGCAAATATGGATCTGGATCCCCGTTTCTACTGCATCCTCTACCTTTTTCCTCCCTTTCGATGGATTCCTCTCGCAATCGCCCCCCGCGTATCCTCCTCCCCACCTCCTCACTTCCCTCCCTCAATCATAGTTGCTTTCCACACTGTTTTTACTGCTACCCTCCAGGTCATCCACGGATTCCTTTTCGTTACCCTGCACTCTCGCACTTTCTCAATTCTTCTTCTTCTTTCCTGTAGAGTATGAAACAAAAACTGAAGCATAGGACATTCACCAGATGGCCAGAAATCTCAAACGATTGTGGATGTCGCCATTGAAAGCTACAGTGTTCATTCATGTCCACGGCGCATTTGGTCCTTTGTCCTGTCAGCTTCCCCTCAACTCCCCTTCTCATGACTGGGGCTGTGTGGCGAGGAGTGAGGTGCCCTGGAAGGAATCCAGGGCACGCAACCCCATGGCAAAAGCCGCGGCAAGTGGGGTGGAGACGAGGGCTTTTCCACCCGGAGTGGGTGAATATCTGATCCTTCCGCCATTCTGAGTCAACTAATTATAAATGCCGTTCAGTGGCTTCAAAACCACAGCGGAGAAGTGTGTGCTGGACACGGCGCATGGTCTCGCAAGGCTAGATTCTGCGTGATGGGTTTCTGACACCATCGCATTATGAGCTTTTGTCTTAGAATTGAATAAATGGCCCTTGGACCCCCGAAGCTGGTGTTGGTTTCCGCACCACCACCATCTTCGCCACCCTCCCCCATCCGCTTTTTGAATGAGTGCCACCTACTTTCGAAGCTTTGCTGGTGCTTCCTATGACTTTGTCTCCCCAGCGCCATGTTCCAGCGCTGCTTCATGTAGAAAAAACCAAACCTCCTTTTCTCCTTTATTACCGCGGACATTTTCAGACGTTATGGAATCCCGGATCCCCCAGAAGTGTCTCCTTCTCATGCATTATATATATAGCCCGCTGTGTTTTTCCTTTTTCTGTTTTTTTCATAAAAATATACGTGTCAATATGGAATAGTTTTTTCATGTTTTGGGTGTGTTGTGTGACTGAACTGGAAGCCCTAAAACATTATGAGTTTGTTGTTGCGGTTACTGGCTCCTTTTTTCATGTCCCCTTGTGCTTCAAATCTATGGAGTTACCTCGTGCACAAGCTGCATCTCTTTACCATCTATCCCATTGCAGTTTCTAGTATGAGTCTTGTACTATAAAGGGAGACAAAGGCAAAGAAGAATAAAAGATCGAGAGAATGCCACCACTATTTTTTGATTGTGCCTTGATCAATTAAACTTGTTGTTGGGGTGTGGGTTGTTCCTGAAATAATGAATGTAACGATATCTAATGTTGTTGATTTATTGAATATGCCAATGAAATGTTAGTAACATGCCTGTTGTTGACTAAAGCATATAAATATAAATATAATCTGTTATCTGAAGTATATAGTGAGGCTGGAGAATATTTAACAACCTAATATTGATGTCTGATTGAAGGTAGATGCAGACAAAATGTATTGTATCCTGCTCAGAAAAACAGAACGTGGATTCTGATTCTTTCATTTGACAACAAAGACTTGCACTTAGTATTTTGTTCAATGGTAAACTTTTTGGTTTGTAAGCACTTCAAATTGGTAAACATTGGATGTTTGATTTCTGATGTCTCATCAATGCCATGCCCAATTCTGATTTTAAAGTATTAACCAACAAATGTTTCACTGTTTTAAATTATATTCAAATGGATCCAACACTGGGGCAAAAATAAAACACCCCAGATTGATAGATTGCTTATTCTGACATGAGAGGACATGTTTGAAGCTTACTCAGATGGGATTAAGTTGGATTTAAAACACCCAATTCCATATGTGTAAATATATATATATATATATATATATATTTGTATATAGGAATAGCATCATTTTGTAACATCACAGGTTTAGGTGGTTTTCCCTTTTCACCTTTTTGAGCATGTCTGCAAGCATTAAATAACACATTGAATTCTTGTCATACACTATGGGTTCAAGTAAATTGTCCAGGCATATCATCATCCAAACAGTAATTTTGACAGGTTGTGGGTGCATGAACAAAAGAGAAAGTTCAACTTTCAACCATTATATTTATTCTTTGTCCAGTTCCACCCTTGCTTTCATGGACCCTAATGGGATGAAAAAGGATGAGCATGATGTTTGTCTGACGGTCACACTGGAATTACTCTACTATGCTGGCACTTAACCTCTCATCCTCTGCTCAATACTCCATTGTTTTGTTCTACTTGGTTTGGTTTGATTTTACAAGGAAACTATGGATGAATCAATTATGGTTTGTAACTGTGTAATGAACATTCAAGACTAGATGGCAAAACACACCATTCAAAAATATATTATTAACTGGAGAGGACTACAGATGGTGAATTGATGGGATAAGGTTGTGCAAAGCCCTAGATTGATATTCTTGTTGCCATTTGTGGTAGTGATTGTATCAATAATAACACTATTATCATTTGCAACTTGATTGGGTGGCAGCTCAAACAGGCTGGTGTTTTTTTATAAAACAATTCAAGACTCTTATCTGATCAGGCACTTCATGGTATGTACATTTACTTTTAATCCTTAAGAATCAATAGCACAATCAAATCCAAAATCTCATCCACAACTCAGTCATGTGCTTGTTTGTTGAGCAGTGCATGTGGGCTTCTATATTGACTTCAATGTGTAGAATACTTACATTTTTTTATTTTTAATGTGTGCTTTTATCATGAAACATGGAGTTCAGAGGTTGATAATCAAACATAAAAGAAAACTTTGTCAATTGGAAACACACAGCATTTTCAAAGAAAATAATACTTTCCCTTAACTGGTGGTTGGATTAGGTGCCCATGTGAGAATATTGTATTGTTTTTAAGCTCTGAACACAGAGAATTGCATACTCATGTAGGGGGCAAGTATACATGACACAGCTTGTCTCAACTTTATGCACAGAAATATTGGATTTCTTGTGGATGGAATTTACAATGATAAGATAAAAAGGTTTCTTAAAACATGAGAGTTATTTATTTATTTATTACTTTTTTAATATTGTAGTGATTACTAGCATAAAATTTGTGAAAATATGCACACACACACACACACATATATATATATAACGAAAAAAAAAAAAAAAAAAAAAAACATGGTTATGTGATGGATGGAATTTGGGATTTTCCTCTTATGTTTTTACTATAGAATGTGAAAATTGAAAGTGAACCAGAATGAAATGTGAAAATCCATTTGAGAACCTGTTTGTTCACTCAATCAAAGTAACACCTGGGTGATTGCAAAAGAAACAGACTACAAGGTGGGAATGTATGCATTTATACAAACATCTCTGGGTTTTATTTTACAGTGTAAATGTTGCAACTGAAGTTGTGACACAAAGAACCACAGTACTTTTATCCAAGAGCAAGAAATTTGACACAGGTAAGCATAGGGGTCCTTGGTGACAATCAAAAAATTATTCAACAATGGATGTGTGTGAATATGCATGTGTATTAATAGGACATGTTCGGGAGGAATAAAAGTGCTCTGACAGCACCCACTTTACCTCCCACGGATGAATGGACGCGCAATGCCATGTCGTAATCCTGTCAGAAGTACCATAGATAGAAATCAGGTGTTTGTTTTTGTGTTTGGAATGGGGGCAGCTTTTGAAGTGGTGAGTGTGGGGAAAAAGGTGCTGCTCTGAATGCGAAATGGGAGGGGAACCCGATGAGCCATGCCTTCATTTGTTGGCTGTGTTGTTGTTGTTGTAGTTGCTGTAGGGGCCAGCACAAGCTTTAGCGTTGGCCTCGGGTGGGACGCCCAAGCCAGCACACAGCCTGGCAGCCGTATGATAACAATGGGAACAGGCGAGGAAGAGGACGAAGAAGATGAAGAAGAAGACGCAGAAGCAGCTGCAGCAGCAGAAGAAGAAGAGGCAAAAGTACGGCCACTCTCGCCGGCATCTGATCGGAATCCATTAGCTGGGTTGCATTCGATTATTTGTGGGCAGCAGGCACCTTGTCGAGGAAGAATGCGGGAACTTATTCGCTCGTTTCTGGGACTGGCTGTGTGGTGCAAGCGCCGAAGCAGGAGGCCCGCATGCCAACCCTACACACGCACACCCACTCACGTACAAATCGGGTTGTGGAGATATATCCCACGGCGCGAGCCTGGGACGGGAGAATTTTGAAGAAAGCTTGGCTGCAGTGGGATGAGCCTCGGGGCAGAATTGGAACGCGGAGATCCTGTTTGAAGAAATGGGCTCGGGAATGGGTCTGGCCGAAAAGCATCCTGCATTTGAGCCGGATGCTCGGTGAAGATAGAAAAGCCCATCACTACTGTTTTGGCACCCCCTACCCCACCACCGCCCTTGACCTCTCCCCACCCTAAATCTTCTCCCTCTGCTTGGGCTTCCTCCTCTTGCTCTTTTTAAAACACACTCCGTCTGCTCTCGTGACGTATTTATAGCACTCCATTCATTGCTCCCATCATGTTGGCAGCTTCGATGTGTGCAGCTAAGATCCGGGAAGCGCCACACAATCTCCACAGTAAACCTCGCGCACTCGCTCTCTCTCTCTCTCTCTCTCGCCAGTTGTCGTGCGCCGCATGCTGAAGTCGTCTTGCGGTAGAGGTCGCTTGCCAGTCCGCTGAGAGACGGCATCGAAAGCGTTCAGTGTATTGATACGTGGCTGTATGTATTTGTATCTAGCTGAGATATTACAAGTGAGTATATAGATATACAAATGTAAAATATCCATGTGAAAATGAGAGT